AACTATGTCTACAGCCCCGCACCTACCCTTCCTAAGTCTTGCCTATACAGAAACTAATTATAAGACCATCAAACAACCCAGTGCCGTCCCTGGTCCAAGTCTATAGCCCTTCTGATATGAAGCCAACCAGTACTAAGTGTAGCCAAAGCTAAATAAAAGACAATCCTGACTGGGTTCCTCATTTGACAAATATAAAATCAATACCCTCCTGTCTCAATACTATCTCGCAACTACTATCCTCCATAAAAGAAAACTGTAACGTGTTTGCAAGATGCTAATCATGTTATCGGTAAATCGTACAATAGTTAGCAGGTAACCTGCTCTACCAGAGAGAAGGAGAGAGCTAAGAACTAAAGAAGGCTTTGAGGGCATACTAAGAAACAAAGAGGTAACCGTTTGACCAAGTATATTGAAATACTGTCTGTCGAAGTCTGCTATTTTCATCATGGAAACAGGAGGTCTTTAAATACACAAACCTGTTCATGTTTAGAAGGAACGAAACTAATTAAGGGTATTAAGCGATACATTTCTGTAAAACAAATCAAGTATCAAAGCCATACTTAAAATAAATCATAAAACAAAACTAAGTATCAAACGATACTTAAAACAAACCAAGTATCAGAGCAATACTTAAAACAAAACATAAAACAAAACCAAGTATCAAACAATACTTAAAACAAATCAAGTATCAAAGCGATACTTAAAATAAAACATAAAACAAAACCAAAAATAGAGTACCCATACCGGTTACAAAAACTAACAAATAACCTAAACTTACAGGTGACACAATGGTAGTCAGGAGATGACCAACATGTCCAGCTCTCATGTCCGCATACTAGGCTGTGGACCCTAAGAACCCACTTTGCTAGTTGCCTCCGAAGAGCGTACTGGTGAGGAGGTCCAGTACCTACTACCTGTTCCTCAAACAAATATCATAAATAAAGGAAATATATCGAGGTAGTAACTGATCAAAATAGTCAGTAGGACCTATTTTCCACGCATAGTACCATTCCTCCTCCCACCATACTCATAGCCAAAATAAAGAAACCACACAAACTCTACAAAACCCAGCACGTAAGACTCAAACAAATCCAACCAGGTAATTGCATATTAGGCGGAGACAACCTGATAGATCTCAGAGTTGTCTAGGCCGATCGAGATTCGTTTTTATAGACGGAGATTGTCTAGGAAGGCTCGGACTTCACTCGTTTCGTTTATGACTACTAAGAGCGAAGTAAAGTAAAGTAAAGTAAAATCGTAAGAACAATATTATATTGTTAAGGTCTCTTCTCCGTTGCTTGATGATGTCTAAAGCTTGGGAGGCACTTCGATATTTATATTCCACGTCTGAGTGTTCGCGGACTACATCTAACTAACATACAACCATGTACCTTTTTCCAATATAACTCGCAACGTCGAGTTTTCTTCCAAGGTGCGAACACCTGGAGACCCTGAAAATCATCACACCCTCTTTGATAATTATAATATGACTATTTGGAAGTCATGGCTGTTTCCAATAGTAATTATCCGATGGTGAGAGTCTTTTTAGACAAATGGCCCAATTCTCAAGTCGAACTGTGTTGGCTCCAATCGTCTCCCTTGTTGACGAAATGATCAGTTTCGTCTGCGGGTTGCATCTGCGAAGATAGTTGTTATTACCGACTTTCTAGGTCATCTAACTTCAACTCTTCATAACTCCATACCCAACCGATAGATCTTTTCCGGAGGACTTCCTACTTGCCTGCAGGAAGCCTTTCCATAGGATTGGTAGATAATCCCTCGGTCAGTAACCCTTGGTTGCCGTGGGTAATAGGATTCTGGTTACTGTTATCGGTTTGAGAGTCACCCCTGCGGTTGCAGTATGTACCGGAACCTAGTTGTAACACTCCTCGAACTTCATTGGGTTCGATGGTAGTATTCTCAGGAGTTCCAGACTCTTCTGGTTATCATAGGGTAGATGTGAATGTATTGGTCTTTCATTAAGATCCTTTACTATTCATCATCATCTCTTTGCGCGAAAACGTCCCATTACTTACGGCCTATGCCGAAGATATCTCGTCCTTGAAACCTAGTAACTTTCTGGGTAGTTGACGAATTCACTCCGTTATACTTCTCAGACCTAGCCGAAGGTCCCCTCTTATATATCCTGCGAACAGGATCCGGTCAGACGGACGGTGGTGACGTATACGGTGTTATTTTAACACCTTCGGTTCTGTGGTATAATACTCACAGGACGCAACTTAGATCGATATGTATGATGACGCGCGGGCCCCGTAAGGGGGCCGGAGGGGGGTGTTGGAGACCTGAGATTTCGATTTCGGGAGAGGTTACCCTACCTAGGGTGGTTCCTAGGTATCGGATCTCGGTATTCCTAACATTGCAACCCACTATTCACATAGGTGGCCAACAACCTACTGGTCCATCAGAGAGCTTTATAGCACTCTCCAGCTTTACCTTAACAGCCAAGTAAGCCAAAAACACTTAATTAGACCCTGCTTAACTTGATGTGAGCCCCACTGGTACTTGCAGTTGCCTCTCCCCCTCCAGTCAGCCCTCTCCAAGTCCCATATACCAGACCACTAGACCCACATATCCCCCTCACTCCCTCAGACAGATCAACCATCTAATAGCCATAAGACAGCCTATACCTGACCCTATCAAGCAGCTACTGGTCTTGGCCACACCAACGGAGTCCCATCCCCCAACATCCTGTAGCTGAGGGAAGCCTACCAGCCTAAGCTGGGAGCTACAAAGGAGGTAGCACCTGTACACAAGGGTACTGGCACCAGTCACACCATCCAACCCAACCGAACAGAAGTCCAGCCAAGCCCAGAAAGAGTCAGGCAGGACCATTCAAGGACAGCTCCCTAGGTTTGGCAGAAGGTACAGACTAAACAGTGAGTAAGAGGCTCCTCCAACTGACGTAACAGAAAGGGAGAGAGTGAATAAACAGAAGCAGAACAATGGAAGGCAGGTCCCACTTGCAATCGGTAAAGCCACTAACCACAATCCACTACTAAACTACTACAATATACAAATAATATGAGTATCAAGCAGCCAATCGTCCCACACTACCCCATGCAACAATGAAAAGCCATCCAGAGGGTAATAAGGTCCAGGGTCAAAACCATCCCCACTGAAGTGAGAAGACACCTAGTTGAATAACTGTAAATACCATAAGGACAAAGCTCTAAGGAAACAGTGAGAAACAACATCGTTGAGTTCTGACGGTAGAAGCATGTAGTAACTAAGAGCAGATGGATAGGCACTACCTAGTTCTCTGAGGAGTGATGTGGCCGATACTACCAGTTGAGGATACAGGATGCTCGCCAAGCTAACCTGTAGGTGTTTTGTATAGTAAGAACTAAGAACTCTATTAATACCCAATGAACATGAGCTGGCCCAAAGAACGACATGGATGATTCTCCCAAACTCAATATTCCTTTCCCCTAATTGAACACAGAACCTGTAAGTAGACAATAGATAGGAAGCTGAAGACATTTTACTGAAAGGGGTTCATAAGTAACCATGATGAAGAGCTCAAAGTACTAGTATCGTTATAACCAGCAAATAACGAAATGGTACAAATAAGTAGACAAGCCCTCAACTACACAACAACCCCTAATGCCAGAATACTGGGCCAACCCAGATAATTATCTTGCAAAAGAAATCATCGTGGATGCAGAAGCTCACCACCGAGGTAGAATGAAGGCAAAGATGAGGAAAGTACTTAGAATAAAGTATGAAGAGCCTATTCTCCTTGGCCATACCAGACTCCTTATATAGTACTCTTCTCACCCCTAGTCATGTGATACCAAGTAGTCACATGCGTGAAACTAAATCATAACAAACTAGTTATATGACTAAAGTGGTCATCTGTGCAAAACCTATAACCTTATAGCAAGGTCATGTGTAAAAACTCATAAACCAATCATAATACAATAAACAAGTCATATGACTTAAAGTGGTCACATGTGTGAAACAGGAATCACATATACAAGGCATACTTGTAAGACATACTTACAAGGCACACTCACTAGGCACATGTCCTATGACTCATAATTGAGTCATGTGTGAAACATAATAAATTATAACATAAACAAGTCATATAGTCAAAATAGTCATATGTGCAAAAGCCTATGACTCATAATCATGAGTCATGTGAAAACCTTTTCCTTACTAAGCCATATTCGTGTTACTATACAGGTTGTCTCTGCCTAATAATATAACAGCTGGGGCTAGATAAGTTACTTATAATATAGGTAAATAATTTTAAGATATGATACATGTATAGAGAGAAATACAAGGATTCCTCATTTACAATATGGCTGTTGTAGAACAATCTGCACTCTGAGGCAACTAATACTACTAGAAGTAGTAACATAAGTAAGAGAAAACAGCTAGGTTAAGGAGAATACTCTCTAAAGAAGAAATATTAGGAAAAGCAAAGTGAGAGTTTTCAACAGGATAGATTTCAAGTAGGAAGGTAAGAGAAGTATTCCAACATGATAGGAGGATGGAAAGTGATAACCTAGTCCTCCCTCTTAAAGAAGTGACCTGATATGAAAGGTGGTACGAAATTTTTTAATGTTGAGGGCTTCTGAAATATGAAATAATTTTCAATTACCAGAGATATAGTAAAAGCAGAGGATTCTTCTATTCTAATAATATTTATTATTATTATATTCAGATTTATGATAAAAATATTTATTAAGAACTCAATATATAAAATTATATAATATAATAATATTCAAGTCACATGTATATTAAAATGAGATAGTGAAAACAAGATAAAATTCACTACATTAAGTTTTATATCCACAGTAATTATCATAATAACCCTATTAGTTTAGCTGTACAAAAGTCTTAATACCTTTTATTTTATACAATAAATTATCTACTTCAACTTCTGACAATGCAAGCCCTAGAAATAGTTTAATTCTTCCAATTCCTTACTGTCCAGATTGTTCCATTGTGATTTGTATTTGACTAGACAGAGATAGGTAGATAGTAATTCATTTCCCTCACCTATTCATGACTTTCTGAGACATTCCTTGTTGATATCAAGTAGAGGAAAAAGAGGCATTCTGGTTCGGGGTGCGGTGAACAACATGACGACGGCTCACTAAGAAAAAAAGGGAAGAGGAAAAAATAAACTCCGACAGGAAAAAAAGCAAATCCAGCCATTGAACGCCCACGATAAGGATAAGATAAGATGAGCAAGTAAGTGGAGATGGTATGATAGATAAGAGAGCAAGGATCCCCCCTCCTCGGTATGGCGCCTTTACGGTAATGAAAGCAGAGTAACGGTAATAGGAGAGATATCATTGGGGGGGGGTGGAGATTCAAGGCTCCGGCTCGGCACTGGCACTGGCGCTGGTGGACCCCCCGGCGTATTCGATTACGCTTTTGATTTCTGCCATTCTAGCAGCATGGCGCCCGTCGTTAGCATTAGCCAGCGCTCGGAGGGCAACGCAAACAAGTAGGTGGTGAGTAGGAACGAACCTTTCATGGTACATCTCCGCAAGCTCATAAAGGGTCTCTTTCCCTCCTCCTCCACCTCTTCCCGTGGTCCCAGAAGCCGTCACGGCAGCCCCCATCGACCCAATCTTTGGCGCCTCCAACCCGCAAATAGTCATCATCAACCCCCCACTGCTCCCGCTTGCACCCGCACCACCACCACCACCCCCATCCTCATCTCCGGCCATCCACTGCGGAGCACTGGCAACATTAGCGCCAACGACCTGCCAGTCAGCGGACAAGCTGTGAGCAGCTGCGACCGTTTCCCCGTCCGCGTTCATGTCAACCACCACCACGCGCTCCTGCTGTCGCTCCTGCTCCCGCTCTTGCTCTTGCCCTTTACCGCTGGCGCCGGGGGGGATGGGGTCGAACTCATCGTCCGAGAAGACGTAGTGGACTACCGGGTGCTTGTGAGCTGTGCTGCTCGGGTTGGAGATCAGCGTGAAGAAGGGGGCTAGGGTTTGGGGGGTGGATTGGGGTTGTGGGGTGCTGGAGTGAGGGAGGGTAGGAGCGGCGGGTGGTTGTGGGGTTGAGGTTGGGGGTGTGGAGGAGAGGTATGGGTGTTGGGAGGGGGAGGGGGAGAAGCGGTGGGCGTGGGGGGGGCGAGAGCTTGTCATTTTTGGGTTTTTTTTTGGGGGTTGTGGTTTCTCTTTAGTTTTTGTTGTGCTTCTCGTGGTCGTGTGTATTGTACCGGTATTGTATTCTGTGAAGGTTGGGTAGTTGTGGCGGTGGACGTTGAGGTATGATGACGGAAGGTACGGTATTGTATGATAGCCTTGCCTTAAGTTGGAGGGGTTCGGACATTTGAGGTTACTCGTTGCTGGAGTGAGGTTGAGGCTCAGATCACGTGTTCCTCCACGGTGCGTGACGCGACGCGAATACCGGCACGATAGTACGAGTACAGGTATGATACGATTTTGAACTGGCTTGGCGAATGCTCTTGACTCCACGTTGCCAGATTAGAATTTTGAGTAAGAATTAGGAATTATATTGTGCGAACGAGGATTAAAAGAACTTGATGGCATAACCACATGAACCCTAGCGAGTTTTCACTCCGAATGATCTGACCAGAACGCCTCCCCCCCCCGGCCTGACCTCACTTGGCTTGATTTGGCACGACTCAATCAACCCTTATACGCTCATCTTATGTAGCCATTACTCGGCGACGAATTCAAATTTCTGCCGGCACATGGGACAGAGGCCTCTCGAGCTTTCCGTCTGGATCCAGTCGTTTACGCAGTGCTGTTGCCCCCCACCGGGGATGTTAGCATCGTCCTTTGTCCCCGTTGAACCACTGATTCCCCTGAACGAATAAACAAGCAAAAAAGCGCTACCAACCAAGTGAAATGAATGTCCGCATTTCCCGACCACTAGAAGTTTTTCCTATTAGTTAGCTTAAATACCGGTAGTAAGGAGGAAAGAAAAGAAAAGATAAACAACGTAGTGGACAATCGTCTCCGGGAAATCGGCAATTCGGACATGTTCCGTCGAACTGGACGCGACAGATTCCGCAGACGTCATCTTCAGGGACATCCCAACGCCAGCTGGCTACCGCGTTCCATTTCCTTATTCTGACCTTCATGGCTCCGTCACACGTGCTTGCTCGGGGTGTGATGTTTGTGGAGTGGGATGGATGGATGGATAACGTGTGAGTTGGTTGGTTGGTAGGGCGGGGTTCAGTTGTTGTCGAGGTGGTCTCTGTAAGGAGTTGTGGCGGGGACTCGTGTTAGAGGGGTAACGGTACCAGTATGAAACTTGTACGTATTGGAGTGTTTTTTTCTTTTCAGATAAAATTTATCAGTTTCTGGATATAGTCGTTTCCGAAAAGATTACGTATCCCTGCTTGGCAACACTGCAATAAATGATCACTTCTCTTACAACTCGACTCCCAAATTCTCAGATACAAGAAAAGGAAATCAATGCCTTATATAAACACACTGTGGTGGGATATGGTAAAATATTAAAGCTTCTGAACCTCTCCAAGTCAAGTGTCCGGGTAGGAGTTAAAAATATGAATCTCAGAGATAGGAATACCTATAATACTGTTGTTAAAATTCTTGATTTGTTTTATATGTATATTTTCTTTGATAATAGTACATATTTTCTCTTACTTGGTCAGTGTTTCAGCAAACACACTACCTACATTACTATAGTTTGAATATACTTTATACTACTTCATTTATATTTCATGATAATAATAAGGGATTATGCATGTGTTTTCTTCTTTGATTACAGGAGATTTCAGTATCCTTGGTATTTTTTTAAACTTTACCTGTATGATTACTAGTATTTCTGCAGATATACTGTAATTTCCCTCATATTCTTTCAAATTCATATATGTTTTATGAGATTTTCTTGGCAGAATCTCCGAGTTAAACATGTTTACTCTTTTTTTTTTTCTACTTGTACAGCCACTAGACAAAAGTCTGGGTGATGGCGTAATATGAGACAATATGTGCTGCTCTAAATCATGTAATGCCGTCCACCCCCTCGCATCCAACCGCCCTGAAATCATAAAGAAAGCCATTAGATAAAATTTAAAAATTTACAATTAATAGTTTAATACTAAAACTAAACATTAAAACTCAAAAATTAAAAGTCCACCACGGTAGTATCTGGTATACCAGCCTTTAGTATCAATAACGGTGGCAACTCTGGAAGGCATAGAGTGCCAGAGCTTTTCAAAAAAGGAATTGGGAATAGTTGTCCAAACAATTGGTAGCACTTCTGCCAGCTGTTCCCGGATCCTGTTAGGGCCACCTCTGGTATCCAGGATATCTGAGTATTGGATATAGAGATGTCGTTTGAGCTCCACCCAGGAGTGCTCAATTAGATTAAAATCTGGTGATAACAGTGGGTGATCCTCAAGGTTAATTCTGTTATAAGCAAACCACTCGCAAGGGTCCTTTGTCATGGGAATGCGAGTATTGTCCTGCTAGAAGACAGGGTCCCCAACCTCCTGCGCGATGTCCTGCATGACTGGTGGGAGGTGCCTATCCAATAGTACAATGTAAACCCAACGGTCTACTGTACTTTCCAAGATAGGAACCAAAGGGTCCTGGTGCCCACCCCAAAAGCATCCCCATACCATCAACCTAACCTCATTGGCTTTTTCCCGTGGCTTGAAACAGTTGGTAAGCCACTTCTCTTCTGGGGTATGGAAAACCTATTTCTGAGCTAGGTTGGCTGACATCTGAACCATACACTCATAACTGTGGAGGATGCCCTCAAAATCCTTGGCTGTCCAATCCTTCCAGGCAAGAGCTCAGTCTAACCCCTTCTTGGCGTGCACAGTAGTCAGCCGAGGGCAGGTTTGTGCAAGTCATTTTTTAATATTGGCTTCGAGCAAAACCCTATCAATCGTTCAGATTGAAATATGGAGTACATGGCAATTCTGGAGTTCTAGTGGTGTCATGCCCCAGTCCTTGGTAGCTGCATACACAATAGCTCGGCACTCCCGCTGGCTCAGGATGATTGGTCTTCCGGAGTAGGGGATATTCTCTATATGACCTTAATTGCATGCTCGGGCAAGGAAGTTGAGAACGGTTGACCAGGGACAATTAACCAGTGTCCCAACAATCAAATATCTTTTCATAGACAAGGAAAAAGGTGATTATCATGCTTTTTTCGACATTGGACATTTCTCTTCAGGCAGTCTTGGGCTTGTAGTGCAAAACGGAATTCTTGCATGGCATTTTGCTGTGTGTTATGTTCTACAAGTCCAATATCTATGCGCTTCACTTTTATAATATTGCTTAATAACTACTGACTTAGCATTACCAAGACTTTTATCTAGTGGCTGTATTACAGTTTTACAAGTTGCACTTATATTTTTTCTTATAATATTTTTCTACTATATGAGATATATTTAAAAGATGTAAACCTATATATATGGATATTACTACCTACTTTATTTACAGGAATTATGAAAAAGAATTTCTACCAATTTGCCTTCATACCTTTAATCTTCTCACTAGAAATATACTTGTAATATCTACTTACTATTATGTCCATATAGTTGACATTGCTATTAAGATCATAATATTTATAAAATTCAATAAAGTATGGCTTTAGTGTTAAAACTATAGAAAAGGAGCAATATTACAAACACAGAACAGTTTGTAAAGGATTATATATGTTATGATTGTTGTTGATACATATGACCTATTTAGGAATCATGTGGAATACAGTTTTAACTAACGACTCATCTGAGTTGTATAATGTTATAATTGTTGTTCATTCACATAACCTGTTTTGGGGTCATGTGGGTTTTGCACATACCTTAGATTTTAAATTACAATTGTTGGTTTTATGAGGATTGTTAGTTGGATAGTAGCAAGCCTTGTAAGGCTTACTTGGATTTCATACACATGACCTGTTTAGAAGTCATAGAGGCTATGTGTAATGATTATACTCTTCGGTACTTAGCTCTTCAAGAGGTAACGACATTACACCTTCTATTTCCCTAATATCTCCACAGTTTAGAAAGTTCCTATGGTCACTATCACTTCTGATAGCGAGGATAATATTGTATTGGCATTACTTCTTGTAAGTAAGACCTATTTCTCATATAACATTACACAATTGTGTAGAAATTATTGATTTGACTTGTAGTATAGGAATGAACTTAAGTGGTTATATGAGGAGTCTGTATCGGAGGTCCTTTTTTTTATTATTATTATCATGTATTCATTCTTTAGGTACAAGAACTCACATGCAGCGGTAACTATGGCGTAAACAAAACCTTAATTCCAAGTCAAACCAAAATAAAAGAAACCAAACCAGTGCCTCCAATAAGTGCGAACAACCCATATCGCAAAGCACATAAACAGTTAAAAATAAAGGGAAATATTCAAACTAAAACATGAAGAAATCCTACAAGCAAGGAAACCAAACAAGTGTACCTTTTGCTCCACGGCTCAAACCAAGGGTGATGGGCTGAGTGGGGAAGTGGGACGCCCGACGAGACGGGCTCCAGAGGAGGGATCTCTGAATACCGGCATGACTGGGGGGAAGCCGACTGAAGTGGCCGAGAAGTAGGCGGATAGGCAGTGAAGCAGTTCCGGTGATATCAAGATGAGTTCCCCTTCGTCCAGGCACTCGACTCCCGGGTGGTGGACATCGCTGGCTCTGCTGTAGGAGGGGCAGTCGAGAATTGCGTGGTGGAAAGACTCAGACTCCTCCTCACAGTAGGGGCACGTGTCCGGGGCATTCGGGTCTCTCCAGGAGTAGTGGCCGGCCAGGTAGCTCTTTCCTGACCTTATCTGGTGGATTCTGCCCGCTATGAATTTCCCTAATTCCATAAAGAGGTGGGGTAACAGCGAGGGTGAGTAGGCATATCGGGGTGGTGGTGAATACTGTTGGGTCCACACATTTAGGAGGAACTGACAGTAGCCTCTCTTGAGGGCTTGGAATGGGGGGTCGCCAGGGGCCACTGGGGGCAGGGGCTCAGAGAAGAGGGCAGGTAACGGTGGAGGGACACGAGAGAGATGACCAACAAGCTTGTCCACACGGTGGGCTATTGCATCAAGTGGGAGATGCCTCCGTACTGGAGGGGATGGCTCGGGGGTTTTCCAATTCAGGCGCCTGTAGCCTAGCGTAAGCCATACCATCAAGGCACGGTGGTCCTCTGGGGAGCGGTAGTAGCAGGTTGCAGGGAAGGAGTAGTGCAGTCGCGCTGTGGCCGGATTTCTTTCCGGGGAGAGGCAAACCATCCTCAGTGCCACAAGGCACTAACGGTGTTCAATAAGGCATTGTATTTGTGGAAGGGCCGACTTGCAGGGGAGGATGCCGGTAGGCATCTCTGAGAAACAGTTGGTGATCCATCGCTGCACCTGTCTCCAAAAGACAGCAAGCCAGTCTGTCATGGTGGCTGATGGTGAGAACAGATCTGCACTAAAGAGGAGTATGGACGCGAGGAGGGAGGATGCTAGCCTGTGGCAGAGGAAGCGGGCGAGCCCCTTACTGGGACCCGATAGCCTTTTAAGCATGGAGAAGGCACCTTGGGCAAGTGCAAGGCGTTTCGAGAAGTTGGTGTTAGTAGCCCACCGGAGGGAACAAGAGGCAGGCTCAAACCAATGGCCGAGCCACCGGACCACTCCTGAGGGGCGAAAAAGGAGTCCATCAATAACGATGGGGAGATTGGATGCGAGGTCCCTTTGTCTGGGCGTACTCCAGTGCATTATTTCAGTTTTGGGTACAGAGAAGGAGACCCCAAGACTCTTGCCCCTTTGAGTCAACATCTTAACTAGATGTTGGAGGCACTGGACATTCCTTCTATAGGAGTTGGAGTCAATAGTCATTGTAACATCGTCGACATAGGACAGGATCAACCCGTGTGGTACCGGAAAGTGGAGGGACGAGACATAGATGATGAACAGAAGAGGTAATATTGGTGAGCCCTGTGGGGTGCCAACCTGAACTAGTTTGAAAACCCTGGGCAATACCTGGAAGACAAGACGGCACTGCCTTCCTGTCAAGAAGGATCTAACTCAGGAGCAGAGGTATGGAGGTATGCCCTTCGATCGCAGCATATGGAAGAGGTTGTTTGTGGAGACATTGTCCAATCCTCCCTTCATATCAAGGAACAAGGTAGACGCAACCAACTGGGGACATTACAGCATTTAAACTTCATGAGTCAGAGTCACGCAGGCATCGAAGGTGCTAAGCCCTGGAAGGGAGCC